TTCGAAATAGAGATGAGCTAGCAAATTTATTTTTTTCACTGGCTGTGCAGTTCAAAAACAGTTTTGGTTCCATGGCTCTGTACATTATTTGTCGATGCAACAGTTGAGATAGTTTTACAGTAATTCCTACTTCTATATATGGCCACAACCATCAATGTCTTCTTGATATGTAGTGTACATATTTTGTATCTTCCCACGTACTAGCTCTTAATACACAATATAGGACTTAGCATAGGACTGTAGGGTATACTGATTTTACATCAAATACAGGAGTTTCAAGTATCAGTGTCAGTATAGGACTCGGCATTGGACTGTAGGGTATACTGATTTTACAGAATACAGAAGTTCCAAGTATCAATGTCTTCTTGATATGTAGTGTACTATTTTGTATCTTCCCACCTACTAGCTCTTAATACAGTATAGGACTCGGTATAGGACCGTAGGGGTACAGTGATTTTACACAAAAATTTTGAACTGCCGCAACAAATGATTGGTTTTAGAAGGTAGATTGATCGTACGAGACGTATAGGGATGCCACAACATTTAGTTGCAGTGCTGCTGTTTCTCTGTTTTTTTTTCTGGGGAAAAACACGTGTCGTACATACATAAATGTGATGAAATGAACCTCAGATGTGGGGCCAGCTGAGCTGATGTGAAGGATGCCATGCCACAACGGTGGAGCGCCATTGCCATTGCCAGCCTAGCGAGACGGCGACGTTGGCAGCTGGGTTGGTGCTTTTGGCTAATTGGCTTGCTTTGTTGACTGGTTCTCCGATCTCCATCTGGAGGATTTGTGCCGGCCCGGCTTGTGCTAGCTGCTGCATTGCCGTGTAGCCGATAGCCGCGAGCCCGTAACGCCGTGCCACGGCACGCAGGGTCCGTAGTACGTCTCTGTTCTCCAATGCCGCCTCCACTGTTGGACAGATTTCCCTCACTGTTGCAGCATGTGGTGAGCAAATGGGAATGTGCGCACGATTGGGAGAAGCAAATTGAATGGCCGACCAAGCCAAGATTCCATCCACTGATAGAGCCTGAACGACAAGAGTTTTCATATTGTTCAGTTCTCTGTTACAACAAACCTACTCAACACTGAAAGGATGGAGCCAAAATCATCACTGCCTCATCCCTTTATAACATACTTTCCTACATAAAAAACAAATCTTTTAACAGCAGATCATTTCCTTTTGGTAGTGGTTCAGTTATAAATAAATAACACGGCAACGGGCTGTGTAACGGAGATCTCCTAGAAGTAGATACCTTTTTTGTTAACATGATCTCCGGGTATATATAAACTCCCAGCACAACGGCTACAATCAGTCAATACTTGGTAGTAGGTCACTGTACAGGGTGAGTGCAGTAAAATAATGTTAACGCGAACCAGGTCGTCATTTTTTAAGTCTCACGAAACGAATCCAAAGAACGATTCGATAACGCAGAAAAAATATTATTCTGAATGTCAATACTTTGTAGTAGGTCACTGTACAGAGTGAGTGCAGTATGTATAGTTTATGACTGAGCTGAAATCCAAAAGAAAATTGAGATGGCAGCAATAAGTCCATGCGGTCCCGTCCGGTACCCCTGGCGACGCATTGCACTAGTGTCCCTGTCCTAGACGTAACGAAACCTGCTAGGCTCTGAAACCATGAAGGCACTGTAGAGAGATTAGCCTGTACGTAGCTGGGCCCGGGTTGCTTCATGGCCCATCAGAGAGGTGTGGGCCACTTCACTTCAATCCAAAAACGTTTTGCTGTGACAGAAACCCGTGCAGTGAGGTATGTAATTCTATCTGTATCAGTATTTAATCTATATAATATTAAAAACAGTAAAATTCTTTGTTTCATCTCTCACTTATTTCTCCCGCCCACCCGTTTGTACGTCACTCACTCATCCTCTATTTCTCAGCGCCAGTTTGTTTCAACTCGATAAAAGTTAAAACAAACAATTTAGCTATTGAGCTGGATTTTGAAAAGGATGAAAAATTGGCTTATGAGAAAATGAACTAAAAGTTGAAAAGCATACTGAGAGGAAATTTTTTAGCTTTTGACGTCCTGGGAAGAAAAAAAATATTATAAAAGTCAAAAGAAAAAGACAACAGCAAGCCAAAAACTAAAAGACGTTTGTAATTTATCTGTTGATAGATTTTTTTTTTTACTAAATCTATTAGATTTCTATACATTTGTGCTACGACTGTTTATTGGGTCACACTTATAAAAATCTGATAAATTTGACCGTATAAAATCTATCAACGGATAACTAAACACTCCCAAACCAAAAACCAACTTTTGAGCCAAAAGCCCAAAAAGTACACCTTAAACAGACACACCCTGAATCTATCATCCTCCACTCTCGTCTTCTCACTTTTATAGATGGCAATACAAACCCACGATAGGAATTTGGAGTTTCAGAACTTTCATTGTGGCTCGGCGGTCCAAAACTGTGTGTCACGGTGCACATGTGGGGTAGTTGGCTTTTCACCTTTCTGAAGTTCATAACATATCGCTTGTCAATTTTCGATACGAGATTAATCATTTATTGCAATAGCATTTAGTATTATCAGCCTAAGAATTTATTCGAAATAAAGATTAGGGCAAGCCTAATTAAATCTAATAAAAATAGCTAGCTTATTATCATTAGTATGAACACCGTGCAATAATCAGTATGTTCTTTTACAAAGCACGGGTATATTTTCTAGTAAATCAAATATCAAAGTACAACGATCCTTTCATCCATCCCTCACACATTCTCTCTCCCTTCATCCTCTCCTCATCTATCAGGTCCTTTCTCCCACTTTTTTTAGTCAGTTGCTCTCTGACTTGTTATTCCAACCCTCATTTCCTCACCCGTCTCTCTATTCCTCACTTTCACCCATCTTCTTCATTCCTCCGCTCCTCACTTTCACTTTGCTTCTTTAGTCCTCACTTCAGCACTCTTCTTCATGTCTCTGCTCCTCGCTTCCATCTTTGTTTTTCAATCCACATGATCGACTTCACGTTTGTTCATGCTAGAATTTATTGTTCATACTGGAATTTTATGAGAGAAAACACTCGCTTTCTACCTTTTTTAGCTTTGCAATAGGTGCACACAAATAGCCACACACCCGGTTAAGCTCGATCAATCCAAAGTCAATTTCTTATGTAGAATTAATCCTTTATTACACATAGCACTTATTATGGCCTTCATTCCTCCGCTCCTCACTTTCACTCAGCTTCTTAGTCCTCACTTAAGCACTCTTCTTCCTATCTCTGCTCCTCGCTTTCATCTTTGTTTTTCAATCCACATGATCGACTTGAGAACTTGAATTAACGGTTGGACATGTAAAATTTAATTGAAATAAGGCCTTTGTTGAAAAAGGAATTTTTATTTCGGTCACGCATAAGTTGTGCATAAATCTAACAAAGATAGCTATCGTAGTTTATTATGGTTGGCACGAGTAGGTCAAGTGACCATGCAACAAGCTATATGTCCTATTTCACATGCACGCGAATGTTTGCTAGTTATTAAAATAAAAAAATATTGAAAGAATAATTCAGTGGCCCTTTTAATCATTGGAATTGAATTTATTCTAATAAATTATAATTTAGACATATATTAATTAAGCTAATATAATTATATATAGAGTATATTTGCATACTATTGTTAGCCATGCAAAAGATATGCTTATATGTTGTATTTCTACTAATGGGAAGCGAGTTGAAAAAGCGTCTATATAAGTTTGCAATAGCCTATCTCAAGTTGGAAAGTTATGGAATCTTAAATTTTAAACCAAATAACCTAATCCATTAAATAGATTCCAATTCCTCAAAACTCCAATCCAAACAGCCCTAAAGGTCCAAGGAAGTCGGTCTTGGTTACAGTGCTAGTATCAAGTGGCCTCATTTGAGCAAAAAAAAAAAAAAAAAAAAAAAAAAAAAAGTGGGCTCCAGACTCTAAGATTTCTTATGCAGCAACGTGCATTCATATATATGAACTGAACATTATGCGCTACTACTTTTTTCAACAAGACTTTAAGATTTTATGCAGAACATGCATGCATATTTGAACTGATTGCTCTCTACTTCATATTTCAAAGATAAGATAAACATGTTAGATCGAGCACATTTAAGCATGCACCGTACGCATATTAAAGCGAAATTGGATCCACAAAAGTTTACTGTCAGTCAGGTAAACGCAACCGCAGGTGTTATCAACAAATGTTTTTTGAGTATATATACACACACCAAAAGAATCATACAAGTCAGTCACGTGATTCTTTGGTGTCCAAGACTCGATTTGTTTGCCGTTGGATCAGGACCCAGATTCAACATTGTTCGCCGGCTTCTTTCTCTGTTGGCTTCTTCAGTCTCTTCATTCGTTCAACAGAGAGAGCTCCAGCCAGCTTTTCTTCATGCTCGGCCAGTCATGAAGGCCTCACCAAAGTTGGACACCTCAAGAAATGCAAATCAGCGTGGAAAATACCTTTTTCTCATTAATTATAAAGAAAGATTTATTTTACTATTATTATTAAAAAGAGAGGTGAGAAGATTGAGAGGAGAGTAGTACCTTCCACCTTTAATTTACGCTGCTGCTGTTCCCCAAGAAGATTGTGAAATAATAAAGCGCTGCCTCTGCCTCTGCCTGCGCGTACGTACTCGTACACGATTTCGACACGTGAAACGTGCAAGGCTCTGTTCTCAAGAGCCGTGAGCTGACGAGGGAAACAGAGCGCTGCGCTGCGCCCAAGAGAGATTCAGCCCAGGCACGAAGGGCGCGTTTGTTTGCCTGTACCAACTAGGCCAGTGTGCCCGTGGGCTGCAACTTGGGTTGTTTGATTGTTTGAACGGTCTTGGGAGCCAGCCCTGCACGCTCCCTAAAGCAGCCCTCGCCCAGGCCCAGAAGGAACGAAATCAATTTTCGTTCCAGCTGGGCTCGGCCCGAGCGGGCGCGATTGAGCCCCCGGGTCTGTGATTCCATCACCTCCCTGCTCTCACCTCCTCCCCGTCTTCTCCGGGAGCTCGCCAACCATGCGGCCGCCGCCACGCAGGCCACCGCCGGCGAGCGAGCCACAGGCGCGGCCTCGCTGCCCTGTAGGCCCCGGCGCGGGCGCCGCTGCCACGCAGGCCGCGGGCGCGGGCTATGCTGCCCTGCAGGCCGCTACGCCCGGCGCGGGTGGAGGAGGTGGAGTGGCAGTGGTGGGAGTGGGAGTGGGAGGAGCGGCGGACCAGGCGGATGCCGGGCGGGTTAGGGTCAGCGGCGGGCGCGAGCGCCGCTGCCGCGCAGGCTACCGCAGGAGCAAGCCGCAGGCGTGGGCCACGCTGTTGCGCAGGCCGTAGGCGCGGGCTCCGCGGCCGCTCTAGCCGGCCGGCCAGCACCATCCACGACGCCGACCTGGTGCCTGGGCACAGCTGTGGAAGACGACGACGTGCTCCCTCCCGTCCATCTCCGTTCTCTTCTCTTCCTCTGTCTCTACTCTCTCTCTCCAGCACCGGTGTGAGCATGGAGGTGAGGCGGAGGTTCAGGAACGGCGGCAGCCTAGCTGGTCGACGCGCCATGGATTGGATTGGCCAGTGGTCACCGGCTGAAGTCCATGTCCTTAAGGTGTCTGTGCAAATGTCTCAGTGGCAGGTGCTGGGAAGAAAAAGGGGGTAACTCTACCCATGAGCTAACCGTATTTGCTTGTGCAGCCTACCAAACAAATGTCCGGTCCTCGGCCTGGCTAGCTTCATACATAGAAACAAACAGGAGTAGTTGAACGCGATGAGCATGTTCCAATCCAAGCGGTCTCTGGCCAGCCACGTGAACCACCTTGGACCAGGAAACAAACACGCCCAAACAGACGGCATCCATCCGCACCGTACCGCAGGAAACAAACAAACAGCCGAGCAATGGCAGGCGCGCAGGCGGGCAGCATCCGCCACCGACCGGGAGGTGAGGTGAGAATTCCGTAGAGACGACTCGCACCCACCTCCGTCTCCGTGTATCTTCTGCCTTTTGGCGACCGACCGATCACATCGGGCGCGGCGCGCAAGATATGGAGGTGTGTTGCGATCGATCGATCCTGCTTCCTGCGAAATGAAACGTCTTGGGTACGGTGAATCGGTGATTTCTGGCCGCCGGCCGGCCTCGAAGGCGAGATGCATGCGCGGGTGATCGGTCGGTCGGGGGACGGATACGTGCGCGGGTGAGATCTCTCTGACTGCCAAGGTAGAGCACGTACGCACGGGCGACGGCTGACAAGGTTTTCATTTTCGGAAATTAAAATTTATCGGGGTCATAGATAAAGAGGATAAACAGGATATATCGTAAATATCGGACCAAATTTAAATAATAATTTGAATCTAAGTAAATTTAAACAAAATTTGTACGAAAAAGATAAATATTTTCTTATCGGCACCTACAGATAGAAATGATATATCGAAAATATCAGGAGATTTCGGCCGAAAAAGGGTAGGAACTCTTTAGTCGCACCTTGCTGGTGTAAGTGGAGGTAGCCATACTTAAATATGAGTCTTCTCCACTTCCTTAAGTCTAGTATAAGAAGGAAAAAGGGAAGCCCACACACATGTGCTCGCTCACCTTGCCAGGCCGGGCACGGGGCTCCTGCATAAATGGTTTGCAAAGTCATAAACGGTTTAGATCGCGATCGCGACATGAGATTGGCTTGAACAGGATTATATAAGCAGCCTATTGGCCACGCCAAAACGCATCCAATTGAGCTAGGGTTTTTGCCTCTTCTTGCTGTTGCGCCGCCGCTGTAGCTTCTCCAGTCCGATTGCTTGCGTGCACCAGCGACTGGGCGAGCGGGTCTCCGGAACCTTCGTCCTTGCGATCCTGTACCGGGAGAGGACGAATAAGATTTTTGGGAAGCGCTCTTCACACGACTGATCCCAACCTTCATGACGGGTCGTCTTCCATCCAAGTCAGGCGGCGCTATATCCTGGCGTATCCGTCGTCAACTGCTCCGAGCTCTTCCTCCGTGGCTCATTGACGACCTCGCGCCGCCATCACCAGTATCGTTGCTGTTCGCATCTCTATCACCGGCGACATCATCTCCTGCTACAGTCAAAAGGTACACATCTCGTTGTACAATGTATTTCTTCCACATATTTAATCTGACCGGTGTACGGGCTATGCCAGTACTTATGTTTACGCTGATGTTAAATCATGCTAATATACAAGTTATGCTTAATCTAGTTCTTGAATTTGTCATGATTTATTTTCTGGTTTTAATTTAGAAACTGCCTAATTATTTAACGATGCAAACTGTCCTCTTGGCACGGCACTATGGCTGCAGGCAGTGAACACCTACAAATTCAGGAATGGCGACGAACGGGGCTGAGCTCGCTCTTCGCGGACATCAGGGTGATAGTTCAGGTTGATCAGCGACGTCAGGGTTTCTTGTCAACTTGTGGACGGGAGAAGAACACTCATCTGACTGGTGCCCAGAGCCTCGTTGCATGGGAACGGATCTGCAGTTCTGCCCCAAAAAGGAGTAAGGGGTCTCGGCGTCATCAGAGACGTCATGTTCGCTCCTCATGAGCCGTACTTTTTCAACAAAGAAACAACGTTTTTCTCTCACAACAAATCAGCGAACACGTCTGCTGCTCAAACTCATTCACCGGCTGCAGTCTGCCACTGACCCATCGTGGACCAATTGGGTCCGTCAACACTCCTTAAAGGCGATCTCCATTGTCACCACTGGGAAATACTGAGGTCTCTACTGCCGCTGTATCGGGCGAACACCACGGTCGATTTGGGTGATATGGCTGCAACTGCAACACAATTTTTAGAGAACAGAGTTTTCCCTCCGCTTTATTTTGTTGAAACAAAGCAGTCACCAGGCACGACCGTGGTGAGCGCTGAATTCGCTACAGCACAGCGTACATGGTTGCAACACATCCTTCTGGCACGACGTCTGCAATGGGGATGACTCACTCGCCGACCGCTTCAAAGCCTCCACACACAGTCACTGCACACACAAGAATTGATCCGTGCATCAGGCTTTGCACTGGTGCTGGTGCCTCGCCTTTCCTAGCAGGCAATGCATGTATATTGCTTCCTATTATATGTATGTTTACAATGAAGAGGACTTGAACGAGAAACAAACGCAGGGCTCGGTCGAGCAGCTCCTGCATACACGGCCACGAACTGCACTACTGCATGTGCCATCCCACACGCCCAGCTCGCGTCGTGCAGTCGTGTGCTCACTTCACACAAGCCCACGACTCCACGACTTGCTCACGCGGATAGGCCACGACGATGTCAGTACTGGACTGCTGGAAGTCTGAAACACAGAGAAAACGTTTGAGCGGGAACACAGGCTTACAAAGCTTGCCAACACTTCATGTGGGAAAACTGGGCGTGCAGTTATTCATCTGGCAACTGATACAGGCATACAGTCTTACTGTAAGGTAGGACAAATGAGCAGTTCTTTCCTCAAAAAAAAAAAAAGCAGTTCTTGATGGCCACAATGCAGTTGAATTCAGGTTTTTTTTTTCTGATAGCTCAACCTGAAGGCTTCATGCTGAGGTGTTGACGGTCAGTGCCTTCAGTTTCTTTTCTCACAGACGATTCGCAGACCTCATAAACAGATTCCACGATCCCAAACACACATATGCTGGAAAGATAATTTGCTTCATCAGATAACCCAAAGCGAGGAACAGACATGTAGTAGTAGTAAACTGCACATAGAGGGCACTGCTTAGCAAGGTTGCTGACCTGATTGTGAAGTTTCCTTCATGTTTCAACGATGGATAGTTTTTTCCTTGATATATGATGAGGCGTCCTGTGGCATTTCCCTAGCCCCATAAAGAAATCCTCTCAGAAATGACCCGATCCGCTTGCTTCTGAAGTCAGAGGGGACATCAGCGCTTGGCATCCCTTCAGCTCGCAGCCCACATCACCACAAACAAAGGGAACTGATTCCCTACAATGAATGAACCAGACACAGGAATGGCGAGACCTTTCCACATGTGCACAACAACGAACCTTCTCTTACGTGAACGATCTTACCCCGAGGACGTTTACATTTCAGCAGCTTCCTTGTACTCCTCACAAGGTCCCAAACTATGTTGCTTTGGTGCCTGGATAAGTGTTTCACGCGCCTATGACACAGCAATTGGTTCCTGCCAAGATTTAGCTTGCCCAAGAAAATTTGGCATGCACCAGCTATTGCCAACAAACAGCCTAGCAGAGTGCCGGCCAGCAAATAGTCCGCCCCAATTTGGCCGCTCTAGGAGGCTCCGTGGCATCCACACCGACACTGAGCAAGGCGTGCCTCCGTGCGACCTCTTGCGGCGCAAAGCACTTCAGCAAGCACCACTTGTGCTCTGACTCTCAGATCTTGACATTTAGATTCCGCAAATACTGATCATCCTGGATGAAAATGAGATACCACAAAATGGACGAGAAACCTCATCTCCCAAAACAGGATCCTGCAAATATATAGAAACGAATGAGATAAACTCATAAAAGTAAAAAACGGGACAAAAAATTTCCATCCATTTTCTTCCCTTCTCACTAGTTCCTTGATGTGTTATGTTTGTCTAATCAGCCACGGAAGTATGATTTTTTTTTTGAGGGAGGGGAAGCCACGGAAGTATGATGAGTTCCATAAAAGAAAAGTAAATGTCACATTCTTGCATTTTTTTTTTGAGGGGAATATCACATTCTTGCATGACAGTGTTTAATTTAGACCCACGAGGCCCAAGAGGCCCACACATCATGACTTCAGTCCAATATCGGCCCAACCCTTCCCCTGGAGGCAAGCGATCGATTGTGATATGTGAACCACCCTTTGTTTGGTGGTGCCACGATCAAAAAATCAAACTAAATACAGGGTGGTAATTCTCTCAAAAAATAAATACAGGCTGGTAAAGGAATAGAGTCCTGATCCGCTGGGATATGGGAGTCGTAGCTGTTAGAATAATCTACTGTTTTATTTGTGTGAACACAGTAAGGAAAGGCGACGTCGAAAAGGTCCTCATAGGATATCAGTAGCCAGCTGCAGGTGTATGTCGTCATGACTTACTCTCAGACAGATCAGTAGCCACATACAGAGACCGGCGCAGAGTCAGCCCTGCTGTGTTATCTAGTTACTATTGCAGTATGTGCGCTGTATTAGGACTAGATGTATAGAGTTGTATAAATAGACTACCACAGCAACTCAGTAAAGAGAGTTCAGATTTGCCATCTCTCATACAGGGCTTCGGCCAACGTTGGTGTCTTGTACTGTATGTGTATGCTATGTTCTCCCTCTTCTTCAACCTCTAGCCATAGTGTGTGGGGACGAACAACCTTTGTTCGTTGTCGGCTTAGCTAGTAGGTGCTCGAC